AGAGATATAGACAAGTGTCGCATGATCTTACTCATGTGTGGAATCTAATTAACAAAATAAATCAATGAACAAAATAGATCCAGAGACATTGAAGCATGTAACAGACTGAGGAATCTCAGAGGGAACGCAGGGGTAAGTGGGTGGGTGGGGAGAGATCAACCTAAGAACTTATATGTATAACCCATGGACACAGACAATATGGAACTAAAAAGACCCTGAATAGCCACAGCAATCTTGCAAAGGAAGAACAAAGTTGGATCACAATACCAGATATCATACTATACTACAAAGCTGTTGTTAAAACAGCTTGGTACTGGCACAAGAACAGGCATATAGATCCATGGAACAGAACAGAAACCCCAGAAATTGACCCACATCATTATGGTCAATTAATATTTGACAAAGGAAGAAAGAACATGCAATGGAGTAAAAGTCTATTCAATAATGGTGTTTGAAAAACTGGACCAGTACATGCAAAAAAAACTAGATCACCACCTTATACCATACACAAGAATAAACTCAAAATGGGTAAAAGACAATGTAAGTTGTAAAAACATGAAAATCCTAGAAGAAACCATAGGCAGCAAAATCTCAGACATCTCATGTAGCAGAATTTTCACCAATACATCTCCGAGGGCAAGAGAAACAAAGGAAAAAATAAACAAATGGGACTACATCATACTCAAAAGCTTGCGCGCAGCAAAAGAAACCATCAAAACGAAAAGGGAATCCTCTGTATGGGAGAATATGGTTTGCCAGTGACACATCTGATAAGGGGTTAATTTCCAAAATATATAAAGAACTCATACAGCTCCACAAAAGAAAAACAAATTACCCAGTTCAAAAATGGACACCAGACCTGAATAGGCACTTCTACGAAGAGGACATGCAAATGGCCAATAGACATATGAAAAAATGCTCAACATCACTAATCATCAGAGAGATGCAAATTAAAACTATAATGGGATATCACCTCACACCTGCCAGAATGACTACCATCAATCAACAAACAACTGCTGGCAAGGATGTGGAAAAAAGGGAACCCTAGTGCACTGCTGGTGGGAATGCAGACTGGCACAGCCACTATGGAAAACAGTATGGAATTTACTCAGAAAATTAAAACTGGAACTGCCATTTGACCCAGTGATCCCACTTCTAGGAATATATCCTAAGAAGCCTGAAACACCAATCAGAAAGAATGCATGCACCTCTAGATTCATAGCATTGTTATTTACAATAGCTAAGATCTGGAAACAGCCCAAGTAGATAAGTGGATAAAAAAAGTTGTGGTACATTTACACAATGGAATACTATGCAGCTTTAAAAAAGGATTTCTTAGCCTTTGCAACAGCATCGATAGACCTGGAGAGTATTTTGCTGAGTGAAATAAGTCAGTCAGAAAAAGACAAATATCACATGATCTCACTTATAAGTGGATATAATGAACATAATAAACCGACGAACAAAATAGGTCCAGACGCGTGGAGGCATGGAACAGACTGATATATCTTGGGGTGTTGGGAAGGTTCAGAAGATGGGAAGAGATTAACCAAAGAACTTACATATATTAATAACCCATGAACACAGACAATAGTGTGATGAAGGCCTAGGGTGAGGCAGGGCCTGGGAGGAGGAGGACGGAAATTGGGGAACATCTGTAATACTGTCAACAATAAAATAATTTTTTTAAAAAAGAAATTGAATATCAAAATAATGGGAAATTATTGCCTGTTCATAGATTAGAAGACTTAACATTATCAAATGGCAATATTCCCCTAAATGTGAGAGTTAAAACTATAAAATTCTGATAAGAAAACAGAAGGGTATATCCCCATGACCTTGGATTTGGTAAAGGACTCTTAGATATGATACCAAAAGTACAAGCAACAAAAAAAATGGTTTTTGGTCAATTGGACCGCATCAAACTTAACTTGTATGCTTCACAAGACACCATTAAAAAGGTAAAAAGAGAATGTGCCCTCCTAGTTGCTAGGTGGGATGTGGTCCAATTCATGAAAATTAGATCTTTCCCAAAAAAAGACAACCCACAGAATGGGAGAAAATATTTGTAAATCATTTATTTGATAAAGGACTTGTATTCAAAGTATGTAAAGGACTTTTACAGCTCAGTAATAAAGAGAGAAATCACCCAAATTAAAAATGGACAAAGGATCAGAATAGACATTTCCCCAAAGAAGACATACAAATGGCCAGTAAACATATGAAAAAATACTCAATATAATTCGTCATAAGGGAAATGGAAATCAAAGCTCCCAGAAATCACTTCACACTCACTAGGCTGGCTAGAATCAGAAAGTTGGATAATTAAAAGTGTTACCAAAAATGTGGAGAAATCAGAAGCCTCATACATTGCTGGTGTGAATGTAAAATGATGCATCCACATTGGAAAACAGTATGGCAGTTCCTCAAAAAGTTAAACATACAGTTACCACATGATTTAGCAATTTTACTCCAGGGTGTATACCCAAGATAAAGGAGAACATATGCAAACAACAACAAAAAACTTGTACACAAATGCTTATAGCAGTATTATTCATAATAGCCAAAGATGGAAGTAACACAAATGTTTATCAACTAATGGATGAACAAATGAGGTATATGCATATAATGGATTATTTGGCAATAAAAAAGAATGGAGTACTGATATATACTACAACTTGAATGAACCTGGAAAACATTACCCTAAATGAAAGAAGCCAACTACAGACGTCCACATATTATTATATGACTCTACTCATATGAAAACCCAGCACAGGGAACTCTAGAGACACAGAAATAGGTTAGTGGTTGATGAGCTGAGAGTGGGGGTGGGGTGGGGTGGGATGGGATAGGGTCCGGAGGTTGAGAGATGATAGCTGAAGCACCAACATGATGAAAATGTTCTAAAATTGCCTATGGTGATGGCTTCACATATCCTATATGTGGTCATGATTACATGAATCTATAAATGTGTTAAAATTCATAGAACTGTGAAGATAAAATTTCATTATGTGGTATAAAACAACAAAAATTTTTAAATACAGCAGAATTGAGAGAGGAGAGGGATTGTCTCCGGAGTTAGTAGTCCTGGTAGTGGACATCAGGGAAGTCTTTTAGAAGAAAGTCACATTTGAGGGCATAGATGTTTAAGAAGAGGTTTGCTGAAGAAAAGAAAATTATTTCAGACTATGTTAACAATGGCCAAAAGAACAGGACAGGGGATTTCTATCTGAGGAACATTAATTGTTTAGTTCAGCTGAAAGGAAGGATAGATACAGGAAAGAGAACAGTGTCCGATTGTGCATTTCCTTACACTTCGGTTCAGAATTGGACACCTTATTATATAGTTAGTAATGACCCATCAAAGGTGTTTGATCAGAATTCTGCTTTGGGGTTACTAGTCTATTCTGTAAAAACTATAAATAAGTAAATTGGAGACTAGTTAGAGGCTGATATTCTTTCAGTTTCCTGAGAATGAAGGATTAATACAGGTGGTGCAGGTCTGAGAGAGAAGGGAACAAACAGGACTGCGAAGAACCTGGTAGCTGGTTGGGGAGGGAGAGAAAAGTCCAAAAATTGACTCAGGTTTGGAGCCTAAGTGACTGGGATAATAGCGCTATTAAGAAAGGAAGGAAAGGCTGAGAAGTTGATGAGTGTAGTCTGGGATTTGTTGTTTGTGGAGCTAGAAGACCTCCAAAGATTAGTGGGCAATTAAAGGGAACCATGTAGTATATCAGAAAGTGCACTCAGCCTATTTCTTCATCTCTAAGAGATTTGGATTTGAAAGGCAGTATTTATAGTGCTTGAGAGCAAAGATTTTGGAGCCTGATTTGCCTGGGTACAGCTGTTCACTATCCTTTTAACCTTGGCCATGTTACTTATTCTCTCTGGGCCTCAGATTGTGTAAAATGGGGACGATAATGATGTACTCACCTAATACAACTGCTGTGAGGACTGTGCAGACACACACGTATCTTATTTAGAACAGTGTCTGGTACACAGTACGTTTATTGTGACAAAGATCTAGTCCTTTCACATCCGATGACCTGCTGTGTTACATGGGCAGTTTCTGTCGCCTGGCGTTCCAGGGTGGAGGTGTGGGCCAGAGATAGAGACTAATCATTTCTTGTCTAAGGTATTATTGAACAGATGGTATGAGGTACCAAAGGACAAAATGGAAAGGGCGTGTGAATAGCAAGGACAGAATGTTGAGAAATATATTTGGGAACCAAAGGCAGGAGTAGAGGAGGGGCCAGTGAAGGAGCATTCAGAGACAGAGAAGGAAAACCAAGAGATACTGTCATGAAAGCCAAGTGGAGCAGGCAAGAGCTCAAGGGAGCGTAGCCTGTAGAGGCCATTTGAGCAGAGTTTGAAGGTTTATGGGACAAATCTGATGGGCAGGGAGAAGTTCAAGATGAAAGCAAAGGCAGTTCATTGATGGAGCATAGTTCTGCAAGGATTTAGAGGAAGGAAGGTAATTTCTTTCTTTGCGTTGGAATAGAAAGAGGAAGGCTATATGTTGATAGAGTCAAATTTTGAGTTGGAAGGTTGGAAGCCAGAAGCTCATGTTGGATAACTTCAATTTTTTTCTCTAAAATAGAAAGCAAGGTCATCTGGAAAGAGAGAGGAATGTAGGGAATAAAATTGAAGCACATTTCTAAGTGGCTTTAAATATTTTCTCTAATTCTGCCCTTTGTATGAATGGAAAACAAATGATTCATGTCAATTATAACAGGTAATATTTACTGAGCCTTTAATATCTGCCAGGTGTCTTTCTAAGAGCTTATTTCAAACTTAAAACATCCCTAAGAGGCAAAAGATGTTAGTATCATATCTACATATTACAGACAGTAATACATGAGACAGAGAAAGGACTAGAAATTGGTCAAGGTTACCCAGCTAATAAGAAGTGAAACCAAGACTATATGAAATACATCACTTGACATATATTGTAGGTATGTGGAAAGTAAGATTTTCTTTGCTTTTATATTTTGAAACAGGTGACAACCAAAGCCAAACAACTGAAGGATTCAGTTACCTGCTCCCCAGGTGAGCTAGCATCCACTTCACCCCATTAATCTAAAGCAGTTTCTTTAAAATACATTCTTTTTTATAACAATTTCTTTAAATATGATGGTGTGATAGCTTTGACCAATGAACTCTATTGGTCAGACCTCTAAAATGTGTCAGATTACAGGCACCAACAAGCCAATTCAGCCCTAAACAGATGTGGGTGCTGAGATGTATGGGATAAGTGTAAAGACTATAAAAACCTTGTTCTTCTCTCATAATGGGGGACGGGGGCACAGGGGACTGTGTGTGGTATCCCTACACTATCCCACCTCCACATCCCTACACACTGTCCTTTAGAATAGACAACAAGCAGCTTTCCCAACAACCGATGTTTCTCCAAATCTGTTTCCTCCAAGACTAACTGGGATTTTCTTAGTGTCTCCATACTGTTTGCCTGGAACCAGGAAGTAAGAAAATGCCTCCTAAACCTTACAACTTAACCTAAGTGCAGGTCAGCAAACCTGGAGATGCCCAGAAGTCATCCCAGGAAGGATTCAACTTGGGGTTCTGCAGGCTTTAGGAAAGAGGGCATTTCCAGATGCCTTTTCTACCAATACAATTATTTGTCTGGGCATGGGGGCAGAAATAGGCAGTGAGATATTATGTGAAAGCAGCTGGCCTCTAAGACATTCTCCAAAAACGTATTCTGAAAGGCTGTGGTGTAGCCAAGTGAACAGACAGACATGGATCTTACTAGAGCATTGGCGGAGGGGTGGAAAGTGTGAAGAGAAAGGGAAATGTGTAGTTGAACATTTAAGGGTATCTCTGGGATGACACCTGTGGCTGGAGCCAGAGTTGGTTTGCCCATGTACTGTGAGCAGTGAAATGAACAGGTGTCATTCACAGTGGCCCCAGAAGTGTCCTTGAGCAGAGAGCAGACCGAAGTGCTGGTGGTCACCTGCAGGTGGTGAGCATGGCATGAGCTCAGACAGACTCATTTTAGTTATGCTGATGAAACCAATGACAACTCTGGACAGGAAATAACCTTCCCAACCTCGAAAGTAGCAGGCTGTTCCTTCTGAGAGGTCTTTGCGCTCTCTGATCGCAGTGGGTTCTGCGCACACTGTTCCTCAGCGGGGGAAGGCACAGACTTGGAATCAAGCAGGGGTGGTTCAGATCCCGCCACCTCTGCGAGTTTCTGAGACTGATTTTCCTCATCGGTAAAATTCGGACACTGATACCTCTCCTTCCAGAATAAAGTGACAATTAAGTGAAATAATATATGCGAGATGCCGCAGGCACTGACTGCTGTGTGAGAGGCCGCTGCTCTCGCTCTTGTCCCCTGATCTGACCCTGCCCTTTCCCCTGTGTGATGTGCCCTTTCCCACAGGAATGGTTAGACTCTCGGAACTCAAATCAACAGCTCAGAGCTCCAGGCCCAGCAAAACCGCCATGGCCCTGCCCGACGACATCATCACGCAGCGGGAAGCCGAGCAGGCCGTGGGGGACGGCGAGGACAGTGACGAGCAGGAGGAAGCGGAACAGGAGACCGAGGTCCTGGAAAGCCAGCCGAGGAGACGCAGGCCAGCCAGGCTGCCCGAGGTAGCGACAAAGGCAGAGCCAGAGGAGAAGTTCCGTGGAAAGAGGCAGAAGGACTTTGATATATCAGAACAAAATGCATCGAGCGATGAGGAGAGCCAGAAGAGAGAGAGAGGTCGCACTGTAGAGGAGCCATGGACTCAGAATCAACAGAAACTCCTGGAATTAGCATTACAGCAATACCCAAAAGGATCCTCTGACCGCTGGGACAAAATAGCCAAATGTGTCCCGTCGAAGAGTAAGGTGGGTGAGGCAGGGAAAGGAGGAGGCCCCTACTCTGGTTTTAGAGCCACTGAAGGGGCTGCACCCAGTTCCTCCCATTTGTTCCTTCATCTTAGTCATCTCCTCTGTCTGCAGCTGTCCACGTGGGCTCCTGTTTCCCAGGTACCTTCCAGTATGTTTCCCCTGAAAGCAGGTGGAATCTGTGCACTCAGTTGATCAGTGTGTATAAATGAGGTCAGCAGTCTAAGTTAGATCATTATACAGACCAGGTGGTTTTTCTCAGAGAAAATTCCATGCATGGAACATAAATTTCACCCTCAGCCACCCTCCCAGCCTCTGGAGCATTCGCTCTACTCATGTGGCCGTTAGAGAGAAGCCCTGGTGGCTCAGCAGCGTCCTGGTCACAGTGAGCTGGATGCTCCCTATGAGCAGAGTGAGGAGGTTTCTCCAAAATCACAGGCCCTTCTAGCTCCTTGACAAGCCTTTAGACAAGGGGATGTGTGGTCTCCAGCTCTACCTATGACTCTGGACTCAGCCGTAGCACACAGTTGATGGGAGACCCTGAAGGCATATTTGTGTGGGGGGGTCAATGTGAGAAAGACATTTGGGATTCAGCTTACCCTCTGTAGCCTTGGCTTTTTATAAAAGACTTTTCTCCCCGTTTATAGCTCTTAGTATCTGCTTAAATATATCTGCAGATAGTTCTTACATAAAAACTCAGGCAGGCTGGAAGATGGGTGTCCCTGCGGAAAGCCAGCCCCACCCCTGGCCTTTGCCTTCTGCTGGGCTGGTGGAGCTGCTGCACTTCACAGCGTGGTCTTTCCAACCCGCCCTTTCTTGACATGTGTCTCCAGGGCCTCTTCGTCTGAGGCATGAGAACACTGAGAAATCAAAAGAACCAATCTCTCTGCCTTCTGTGCCTTTCACTCAGTAGCCTCTGGGCACATTGATGTTCATTTACATTCTTATTTTTTTTTAATTGAAATTCGATGTTGGACAATCTAGCTTGTGGCCATGAATGTCCCCGTGTGTACAGGTCTAGTTATCTATCACCTACTTTAAAATGAGGAAGTCGAGATTTCCTGGGGAGAAAAATAAAACCATTAGCAGTTGATCTATTTGGGAAACACAGACTCCCCCTGCCTCTCCAACTGGTTTGCCAGAAGTAATTATTTTCCCTGAATTTCTTTAGCATCTGTCAGGACACAGGCATTTGCATATGTGATGAATTGACATTGTTTTAAAAGGAAGGAGCTAGAACTGGATTCCTTAGGATAGAACATTCAGAAACTCATTGCCTTGGGGTTTGGTAACCTTCCTGTTTCAGCCAGAAATGAGCAGGGCTTTTACTGACCTGCAAAAGTTCCCTTTCAGCCTTCACTTTAGAACCAGGTCCAGGAAAGGTTCCCTGGGGCTCACCTGCTGGGGAATGACTCCCTGTAAGTGGCCTGAGAGCCTCTGGGAATTCTGGGCCTGAAGGAAGGAGGAGCTGTGCCTGTCAGCTGGGCTCCCAGGCAGACCTGCTGCTCAGAGCTCAGGGCCCACACTGTCTTCCAGGTGAGGCCCTGGGACTGGCCACATTTGTGTCACATGCTAGGTGGGACCGTGGGCAGCAGGGCTATTAAGGAAAGACTGATCGTTTTAAAGACTCTAGGGAGGAGTCTTTGGGGAGGTGGATAAGGCGCGTATTATAAGATACTCACCACACCAACAAGCTAGAATCCTAGGAAGGACGGAGTAGCCATTTGCTGTCCAAGGCAGCTGATGCCATCATCTGCTGTGATGCGCAAATCAGTCCTCACTAGACCTTAGGTCGTGATGGCGTACAGTGCCATTGGGGACAGTGTTTCTTTAGAACAGAAACGAAGTCTGGAAAGTGCCTTGTGATAAACAGGAGAGTCATGAGTCCCCACTCCAAGGGGTGACAGCTGCAGGCAGCTGGGATCTGAAGCCAGTAGTTCTGTACCTGACAGGCTAGAAGACCGAGGCGGGGCTGGGACGAGCAGGAGGAAGTTCCGCGCACTACTTGTCAGCATCCTGTGGGGCTGGGCCCACGGGGCATAGGAAAGCCCCAGCAGCGCTTCAGGAGAGGCAAACCCCAAGGACGGTATCGAGGCTGCCTGGCCTCAAGTGCCTGGTTTCTTTGAAGTGACGTGTTGTGGTGAAATAGTGCAATGTTAAAAATGATCATTATGGTTAGCAAATTGAAAGTCATAGTCATAATAATGCTAGTAGGCCTCACAGACAGCTGCCACCTGCCCCCACCCCAGCCATTCGCACCACACCCTGCGCCGGCCGCTCAGCTGGCCGCCTCCTTGCACCTGTGCAGCCTTGTCTTCCTGTGACCAGCTGGACTCACCTGGGAAATTCTAGGCAGGTCCTGTGCAGAGTGAATGGACATGAGACCGTCTCATTGTCACTGGGCACAGCCTACTAGCAGGTCCCACAGGCTGAGCTGTGAGGGTCACACTGACTTGTGGAAGTAATTGTTTTCACCTCTCTTTTTCTTCCTACAGGAAGACTGTATCGCTAGATACAAGCTGCTGGTTGAACTGGTCCAAAAGAAAAAACAAGCTAAAAGTTGAATATTCTGGAAGATGATGCTCACCTTCATTTTCCAAAATGATTATTTTAAAATTCTTATACAGAAATTTGCATTTTGTACCTCAGTATTTCTATAAATCATGTGCCTTAATAAAAATTTTTTAAATTTAAAATTAATGTTGTGCTCTAATGTTTAAACAAACACTGAGTTAATGGAGAAAAAAAGATTGGGGTATTTTACAGCATATCCCCTCATTACTACCAAGTTTACTTTCATGAGGAACTAACTGAATAGTGCTTTCCAGCAATCAGACGAATATATGATTTTGAAGGAACATATGAGTAGACCAGCGATTTTGAACCTTTTCATCTCATGCATACATAAACTAATTACTAAAATTCTGCAGACCACCAAATATAGGGGTTGGCAAAAGTAGGTTTACAGTTGTGAGTACAGAAAGCAGAGTTTATGCTTGTATTATGATTTACTAATTCTTGTATTATTTGTATTACAATTGTAAATCTACTTTTGCCCACCCCTATATATATTACATTATTTGCCGATCTGACACACACAAAAAAAATACGTATAATTTTGTGTCTGCTCTTGTCATTTTTTTAATTTGACAATCTAAGGAGAAAGACGTCAGTGCCCTGACTAAATAGTCAGGTAGTGCATGTGTCAAAAATTATTGCAGCACCCTGGTTGAAAATCACTAGAATAGACTAATGTGTAAGAATTAAAACTTAATGTGTTTCTTTGACCAAAGAACTCCCCAGCTAATGAGTTTACTGGTAGCAGAATGCAGATGCCTGGGGACAAAACTCCAGCTGTTTAAAAATAGTGTGAGGTTAGCGTGGCCAGTGTGGCTCAGTGGTTGAGCATCAGCCCAGGAACCAAGAGGTCACTGGTTCGGTCCCCGGTCAGGGCACATGCCTGGGTTGCAGGCTCGATCCCCAGTAGGGGGCGTGCGGGAGGCAGCCAGTTGATGATTCTCATTGATGTTTCAAATCTCTCCCTCTCCCTTCATCTCTGAAATCAATAAAAACATATTTATAACAAAAACAAAAATAGTGTGAGGTTATCTTAGTCATATATATCTAGGAGAAAATAAGTAAATGAACAAGGACATAAGATAATACAACCTCTGAGTTTGGGTCGTTGGATAGAAACGTGTCCGCAACTGATAGAATTTCCAGAAAACATGCAAGAAAGGTTTTTAGGAACTGATGAGATTGAATCCTAAGTTAAAAATCACTGTGCTGTTAATTTTGATTGAACTTTTCTTATTGTTTGTGTTTGAATTGTCACCATCAAGCTGAGTGTTGCTATTTACTTATATCATTTGCTCAAGGCTTGGAAATAGTTTGCTAAGTACAAACTGCCCAAACTTAACCGTTTAGATCACCAGAACACATTTAAGGGAAGTGACTTGATAAAATACCTACAAAGATGTCATATTTCTCTAATGATTAAAACCAGGTTACAGTTTCCTGGAGAAAAGTTTGTCTCTGGTGTCCTATGTCTACCGCTGGCCCTGTAACCTTTCACCGACAGGACAGGCGCTACCAGATAAGCCCCAAACCCTTTCCTGCGAAACCCCACTCCAATACAGCTCCCTGAGTGGGACACTGGGGAACTTGCCACCTCGGAGACCTCAAAAAGAGCAGCGTTACGGTAAATGACGAACTAACTGGCTCAGTGGTCATTTGGTTTTCACGAACTGCCATTGGGCAGCAGCTCCATTCAGCTTGATCCCAGGGGAAGAGCCTGCCTGGCCCCCAGGTCAGCACTCCCACAGGTTAGAGGCCAGGCTGCTAGAAGGGACAAGGCCTCACGCCTCGTCCCAGCAGTGCTCACGTGCTTTCTAATAGCAAACCAGAGCTAACGTCACAAGGGCGGCACCATAGCCAACAGCTTCACCCCCCAGAACTTGCTCCCGGAGCCAGGGGGCTTGGAGGCTGTCCCTGTGCACTGTGCAGCCCCTCCCCACGCCGGGAGTCCGAGAAAACAGCTGGTGTGCAGAGGCCAACAAGGGAGCAGCCCAGTGCTGCCGCCTGCGCCGGGCCCTGGGTCCCGCTTGTCCCCGCGTCCAGCTTCAGGCCAGCCTGTCATGCAGCTCAGTTCAGCTTGTGACCTTCTGTGAGCATCTGTCCATTAATTCACCCTTTTTATGTTTCTGTCACACACACACACCCCAAATCCCATCACAAGTTCCAGTGTGGGGGGAGCCCCAGGAGGGCCCAAAGGTGCTTTATGAAGTACAGTTTAGGATGAAATCCCCGAGTTTGCTCACCAACCCCATCTTTTCTAGACTCCTAAGACAATGAGACTCTGGCATGGTTTTCTTCTAATGATTGCCCCCACCTCCTAGCTCATTTACAAGAAATCAGAAGGGGGCCTTTCTGCACAGCTCCTTTCTTCGGGGCCTCAGAGCTGCCAAGTGTCGTTGAAGTAGGACCAGGGAGTTGGGTGGGCAGGGCTCCCAGGGCACAGCTGCACACAGGAGCCCCGAGGGGTTTGGTATGAGCAAGGTCATGGCCAAGAAAGCAAGGAAGCCTCCAAAGGGATGCACCATCCAGATCACATGGGGACCAAAGCAGGGCTCCCAGGGCTCCCTTGCACCCCTTCTCCAGGTCTTCACCCCCCAGAGAAGCGCTCCCCAAACCTGTCCCTTTGATGCCTCACCTTGTGACCTTATGTATTAGCACCTCCAAGGCTGGTCTGTAGGACATCAGGTACTGTGTTTTCTTTTTGTCCCAGTTGCTCCACTGGAAAACTAGGGACTGATGGTAGTTCTATCTCGCCCTGGCACCCGGGTGCCCTAGGTCACTGCATGGACCCGGTCTGGGAACCCTGCCAAGGGTATACAAAACCTCTATTTGGGGTTATGTAGTTCCAGGGGAGGGATCACATCTTTTACTAGGTGCCCAGGGTCCTGTGCTGTGTTTACTCTGGTGCAACCCAGGGAGGGCTGGTGTAGCACCAAGGAATCCTCGGAGTGGGCCTGGGACACAAAGGGGACCTGGCTCAGCTCTGCTGCTCATGAACCGGAGCCTGGCTTCAAGGCTCATTTCCTGTCAAATGCAGACACAAACGCCTGAGCTGCCTCAGTAAAAGGCTTTCACTTCAGGGGCTGCCTGGTCTTGTCTCTTCCTCCTTAGGTGCAGCCTAAGAAAGGGCCGTATTAGAGTCAAAAGCCCCACATCTGAATCCTGGAGCAAGTCTCAGTGAGCAAGAAGGGGTGACCGGACCGAGACGTGCAAAGTGTCAGGATGGCTTGGGGTCGGTGAGGAGGCTGGGTGCAGATGGCTGGGGAGTGAGAGAAAGGCTGTCTCCCCTGCATCTGGAGAGCACCAGCCTGGCTGGGGGCGCCTCCTCTGCCAACGTGTTTCTCCACCAGCCCTGGGGCCAGGGGCTCAAGGAGCCTCTTCCTGGAGAACCTGGTCTGTGTCCCATAGTAACTTAGATTTACTTTCTCCACTGGGGGAAAATCTTACAGTGAACCAGCTCTTCAAACTCTATAGCACAAGTTTCAAAGCCCAGTCATACACTCTATCCTCACAACACGGCTGCCGACTGGCTGAACAGCTTCTCTCCTCCCTCCAGGTGCTGTCACCGCTCCACAGGGAGTTGGGGTGTTGGGCTGTTTGGGGAGCTGCCTTCCTTCCCAGCTGCCTGGGCCTCATCTGCTTGGTTCCAGGAGCAGGGGCTGGGGGGTGGGAGTGGGGTTGTCATCTGTAAACCACATTGCTTAGGTTTCCAGCAGATAGTGTGGTTCTGTGACATTTGCCCTGGGAACCTCGAGCAGTCCTGCACGCGTCTCTCCCGACTGACCCGCCCGTGCCTGCACACACTCACCCACCGAGGACCACCTGTGTCGCTGGAATCCTGCAGCCAGTGGGCCTGCTCTTTTACTGGTGTTTTTTCAAATTCCCACCTCACTTTTAGAATATAGTCATAGGAAGCTTTCCACTGTAAAGGTCTTGGGTTTGGGATACCTTAAAAAGGTCTCCTGCCACAGGGCTTTTTCTTGATATGTGCCAGTCCCACCCCAAACCGAGTCCACCTACCCTTTGAAAGGAGAGAACTAATCGCTTTAACATACCAACTGTTTCCTGCCTATTTACATCTATCTATAGGGTATTTGTAGTAGTTATTTGTTTTAGCAGTTATGTTTTTTCCTCATATTTAAATTGTGTGGTTTAAATTGTGCTGGCCTACATACTTAGGGTGATCACATATCCTAAGGTGCACAAGACAGCTCCAGTCTCACTACACCCATTTTGGACAGCTCGTGGTCTGGTCACCGCGGGGATCCTGAATTCCCCCAAGAGGACGGAAAGCTGCAGCTAAGAGATGCAGCATTCTTTCTGTTTGCTTTTTGTTTAGAAAGCCCCAAGGGTGGAGGGGTTGTTCTGATCCTGACCCACAGCTCCTCCTGAGGCACCCACCCCACCCAAGGGAAACTGAGGCACAGAGACAACCTCTCTCTCCCCAAGTCAGGGCCCTTCCTGATCAATGTCTCCTGCAAATGGTTCTTCCTGCCAGCATTACATAGGCCTTCCACAGCCCAGCTCAAGACCACAGTGTGGTCTCAGTCCCCTCGAGACCAAAGACTGGAGGGTGAGATAAGGTGAGACTTCAGGTGAGACCTAAGTGACTGCAGTGACCTGGACTAAGTGGGGTTTGTCATTTGGCAAAAACAGACTTTGATAGTTCACCTAAATTTTAAAGTGCTCCTCCCTCACATGGTCCTAAAACCAAGCCAGCTTTCCAGACAATGGGCTGAGAAATGAGTGGCGCTGTCTCAGGTCTGAGGTCTCACTGTGTGACCTCGCTCGGGGTTTGCAGGCGTGTTCTGGGGTCGGGCCAGGCCTGCAGGGGGTGAAGCAAGTCACCTCTGAGCACCATTCCCTCTGCAGGTCCCAGGGCTTCAGAGGAGGTGCAGGAAAGCCCTTCGCACGCTAAAAGGCGGTGGGTGGCGGAAGGGGCCCGAATCAGGGGTCAAACATGGGGAGCAGGTCTCTTTTAGCCACTTGTAGCAATAAACCGCCCGCTCCCCCTGCTGGCCCACACGTTCACTCCACCTGAGGCGCGGATCGCAGCGCGGCCGCCTGGAAGCCACCCCGCCGTCTTGGCAGAGGTCCCAGCCTCCTGTCTGAGTAAACT